GTCGCCTCATGTAAGAGACTTTACTTTTGACCTTCTTTTTTGTTTTATTCTTGTGGTCATGTGTGACCAAGTTAGTATGCAACCTTGGTTTTTGTTAAGACTACTTTTAACTAATCTTGGACATGTATAACTTAATTATGTAAGTGATGTGTGAGTTATTATATATATAAGTAAAAAGTTTTTGTTATGCCATGTATGCATAGCTCAATAGACAAAATTTAAAGTTTTGCTTCTGTATCTGGCCCCATATAATTAAGTCTTTCATGGATTTCTATTTGAGGGCATAGGTAATCTCAGGATTACTAGCCAGTTATGATTCTAACGTATAGGGGCGAGTTAGGGTCATGACAGCTACGAGTCCATTTTTCATGATCTGGGTCGGGTGAAAATTGACCCACATCTATGCAAAATCGGCCCACCCTAATTTTAACCTCTATGGTTTATTACATGTGTGATTTGTTCCCTTAAAATTTGAAAATGAGCATATAACCCTTATATTTGCCACGTGTTTCTCTACTTTCTGTTAAGTTAGACAAAATGTTTAACAGTGTTGAACAATGCACTTCAATCCACAAACCATATGGGGGTTATATGGTCATTTCTAAATGTCAAGGAAGTAAACCGCATACCATAAGGAAGTAAAGTGAAATTTTCCCTATATTAAATTAAAAGATTTAGAAATTAATAATTTAAAAATAAAATTAATAAATTAGCGATGAAATGGAAAAAAAAAATAATAATAATTTAAGTTCCCATTTGGGTGTTAGTTTTTTAACTTAGTTACAAAAAAAAATAAATTAAAACACCCAATCACATCCCTCTTTACTTTATATATATATATATATATATATTTAAAAAATCAATTAAAATAATCACAAGAACCCTATTTAAAATTCAATATTCACATTTGAAACAATTCAATCCGATCTGTTGGTTGGAAATTGGAATTTTGGCTATGTTTGGTTTAGTTTTAAAATCATATTTTTGAGTGTGGAGTTGTAGGTTGATTTTTGAAAAGAAAAAATTTATTTGGTTATGAGTTTTAACAAATATTTTGAGTTTTTAAATTTTGAATTTTGAATTTTGAATATAATTTTGAGTTTTGAAAAGAAATTTAAGTTGTATTTTGAATTTTGAGTCTTGAGTTTTTCAATTTTGAGTTGTATTTGAAAAAAAATTGGATTTATTTTTTTAAAATATTTAAAAATGTTTAAGAAAATTTTATTTTTTATTTTATTTTTAAAATATTTTACTTTTTTAATATTTTAAACTCAAAACGCAACTTTACACTCAAATCATAACCAAACACATAATTTAAAAATCAATTCAAAAATTATTTTGAAAACTTATAACTAAACACATAATTTAAAACTCAATTCAAAAACTCTCTTCAAACTCATAACCAATTTTTTTTCAAAATTCCATTAAAAAAATCAAAAAAATATTTTTATTTTATATTTTTTTGAAAAAATATTGCTTTGAAAAGTAATTTTTTTTGTTATTTTTTCAAGTATTAACCAAGTAATTTGTTATGACTTAAATATATGTTACGATTCAATTTTTTTTAAAAAAAAAATTAAAAATTTGAAAATGTTGAAATTTTTTTAAAATATTTAATTATTTAAAAATATATTTATAAAATACAATAAAATATTTAAATAAAAAATAATTTTTTAAAATATTTTAAAAAATACAACTCAAATATTTAAAAATGCACAATTGTATGAAATATTGTGTACATTAAAAAAAATACAACGGAAAACTCTTTTCAAAATTTATAATCAAATAAATTTTCTTTTTTCAAAACTTAATTAAAATTCATAACTCAAAATACAATTTCATGCTTAAATCATAATTCTAAATCATGATTTTAAAAATAATTTTAAAAAATAAAATAAAATAAATATTTTTTTGAATTTTTTTTTTAAAATAGAGTTTTAAAAAGAATTTGGTTTTGAGTTTTGAAAAGAGTTTTGAATTGTGTTTGGTTATGAATTTTAAAAAGAGTTTAGAAAATTTTTGATTGGAATCATAATTCTAAAAATGTGTTTGATTATTAATTTATGTTTTATTTATTTATTAGAATAACAATAATTAGTGTGTTTGGTTTAAGTTTTTTGAATTAAATTTTTTGAAAACTGATTTTTTTGGTTTTCGTATTTTTTTGTTTTTAGTGAATATTTTTAAAATTTTAAACATTTTTTTTACTTTTTTAGATGTACCTTATTTAAATGTATCTAAAAAGTAAAAAATTTGTAAAAAATATTTTTAAAAATTAATAAATACATAAAAATACAAAAAAATGTACTGAATTATCGTTTTTTTTTTCTATTTTTGATATTTAGTGAATTTTTAAAAGATTTTTTCACAAATTTTTTACTTTTTAAATATATTTATGTTAAGTATGTCTAAAATGTAAAAAAAAAAATTATTGAAAATATTAAAAAAATTTAGAAAAAATTAGTCTAGGGTCCCTCTCCCACTTTTCGTAATGGAAGAGATCCACAATATTATTTTTTGATGTCTAAGGTCCCTAAACATATATCAGAGAAATTTGACTCACAGAACGTCTATTTCGATTCACATACCGGATATTTTATCACCGTCCCCAACGCTAGTAAATGGCAGAACCCAGCCCCCCTCCTTCGTCTTGTTCTTTAGATAACTTTTGGCTATCAACTTCCAAAACTATTCCTTCTTTTCCCCAATAGAACCCATACAACACTCCCTATCTCTCTACCTACTCAGACCCCACTTCCCTAATATATATATATATATACTAGGGTATGCCCGTGCCTACCATTAATATATGAAAATATAATTTAATATAAAATTATTGAGTTAAAATGTAATTTATTTAATTTGTTGGGAAAAAAAATTTGAGGTGAAAATATAAATAGATGATCCGTATGGTTTTGAATTTTCAAATGAATCTTATAATTAGATTTTTAAAAAGATTTTGGAGTATTGTAGTATGATGACACAAATGCAAACAATGATCATATCACCAAATATTTACTATTGTAGTATTTTTGTTTATGTAACCCACTTGCAATTTGTAATAGAAAATAAACATTTTATTATCCTAGCCAATAACAGTACCCAAATAAATTTCTATATCCACATTTTTTTAGATAGTGAGTTTTGGTTGAAGTAAAGAAGAGAGATCTCAAAGCTATAGTTTTGCATCAATTTTAATGTAATGGTTAAAATCTACCAATTTTTATTGTTTGGTGATCAGTTTATTGTGCAGAAAATTAAATAAATGAAAAATAAATAAACTGTATGCTACGTGGTAAATAAATCAATTTGAACATAAATTTTTAGGTAAACGAAATAGTGAAAAGTAAACACATAAATGCTATGTAAAATTCAAGCACAACAAAAGCTTAAGATTTTAAACAAACAACAAAATGCAAATCCCACAACACAGAAACATCTATATAAAAATCAGACGAAATACGCCAGCCAATGCTATGCAATAGAAAAAAATAAACAACAAATTAAGCACACCAGCCAATGCTCTGCAATACAAAAAAAATTGCCAAATAACAAATTAAGCACACCAGCCAGTACTCTGCAATACAAAAAAAATGCCAAATAACAAATTAAGCACACCAGCCAATGTTCTGTAATACAAAGAAAATGCAACACCCTTCCTGATAAAAAGATAACCAAATAAAAATATGATTAGTTTTGTTCAACCTAATTCAAGAGCATATTAGGAAGAAAAAACAAAAAAACATATATCACCTAGTGTGTTACATTTATAAAACAAACTCATAGCATAAATCAATAATTCAAATGAATATTATCTAACATACATCTAAACTTCGTTATAAATTTCACATAGATAAAAGGCTTTACAAAACTATTGTAAGTAATAAATTTCACATCGATTGGAAACTTTACAAAATATGGATCGTAGCTAGCATATGTACGCTTTTCACAAAAATAAATATGAGATTCAAACTTGTTCTTTCTTAGAAATCCTAGGAGCGCCTCATCACTTTCCAAAAAGTCCTCATATCAACTTATATGTATCCCCAGTGAGGAGCATGCACGACAATCTACTAATTTATGAAAATAAAAAAAGTTAGTATATTAGCAAAAGAAAATTTATATATATATATATATATATATCAAAACATTTTCAAATTGAAATTACCTTGTTACATCCCCATCGAAGCAATCTAGTTGTATTTATATTTTTGAGCTCCATATATTTTTTAACCCAATCCTACAAAAGTCGACACATATAGTAAAATATTTTAAAAATAACAATTTGTAATCAATAGAAACAAATTTATCAATAAATAAATTGTACCTTTTGACAAAAGTGGTTTGATCCATAAGTAACACTATAACAAAATTTCAGGATAAACAATGTTTGTAGTAGAATCTGGCTCATCATTGGGAAGGAGGACACTTATACGATCAAAGGATGTTCATCTAGATAGGGCCACATACAATTGTCCATGACTAAACATTGGTGTGCGCAAATCAACTCCAACAAATTTCACAGATTGCCCTTGAGATTTATTAATGGTCAGGGCATATGCCAATCGAACTGGAAATTGACGTCTTGTCATTTGGAAAGGCATTTTTGAAGAAGACGGTGTCAAGGATATCCTTGGTATGAATACCAAATTGCCACATTTTTCTCCAGTTAAAATTTGAGCTTCAATTATGCGAGTATTGCATCTAGAAACCATCAATCTTGTGCCATTGCACAGTCCATCTTTTGGTGCAATATTTCTTAACAACATTATAGGACAACCCACTTTCAACTCTACCTTAAAAGCCGGTAGCCCAGGAGGATCTAATGAATTTAAATATTCATTGGGATATCTATTTATTATAGTACGATCAATTTCATCATCTTCAGACATCTTGTCTGCTGCCAAATAAGTATGTGTGCTGCCGGGAAAAATATTCAATGTTGCAGTATTGATAGCACTGACATCATCATTCCGTGTAGAAAGAATTGTACGTTCAATTTAAAATGTTGCAGTCGATGTCATTGCCACATCCAGTTGTGGATAAACTACTGAGATTATGTCTTTTAGATCTTGGCATTTGTGTATTGTTGATGGAAGTTTAACAATTTCCTGAGGATTGGTTCCAATTTATTTATAAAAATAAATAAATAAAATAGTAAGTAAAATCAATTAAAGTACATAAACGTAAATATATTTCGTCAATTTAAAAGAACCATATAATAGAGAAAAAGTTTGAAGAAATATTACCTCCATCAAGAATTTTGCAAAATTAGCATTTTCATGATTTGCATGATTCAAGAGCATGTTCAAATTTAAAGACAGAACATGTGTATCCTTCCATAGAAAAAAGTGTCTTAATGATGCATTCACAATTTGCTCATGGACTCCTTTGGTTATAACTGGTAAGATTTGTCGAAAATCTCCACCAAGAACAACAGTGATAACCCCAAATGGCTTTTCACTATCACAAGTGTCCCGAAATGTGCGATCAACTGCCTCAACACAATGTCTACGCTGCATAGGAACTTCATCCCAGATTATAAGTTTTGTTTCCCTAAACAATTCTGCTTGTAATGATTGCTTGCTAAATCCACAAATTGAATTTTCCAATACATCCAACGGAATGGAAAATGTTGAATGAGCAGTACGACCTCCTACCAATAACAATGATGTAATTCCAGATGAAACCACAGTAATAACAATATGGCCAAGACTGCGACATTTTAATACAATCGCATTGTACAAAAACGTTTTCCCTGTTCCGGCACCTCCATTCAAAAAGAAAATAGTTCCTTTATTTTCAAAGACTGAGGAAGTGATTGCATCATAAGCTGTTCGTTGATCATTGTTGAGGCGATCAATAATAATTTCTGCATCTGCCTGTTGTGCCTCATTATGTAGTTGTTGATGTTCGAATATCAACCTGTTACCAACTACTGCACTCCAATTTGTAGAAGGTTGTGGCATTGGCGGGAAGTCAATTAACTTTTTCCTAATTCTTGGAGCATTTGATTCAAAAGATATAGACCATAGTCTTCAATTTGAGCCTCAGTTGGTTCAGAAATGGCAAACAATGTTCGAATCTTATGTGCAAGATCATCACATATATGCATTGAAAATTGATTCCATAACGCATATGGTTGCAGTGGAGAGCACTGAGTAAGAATAATAGTAAACAATCTCCTTAATTGATAACCAGTTTTCATAACTGCAGCCTCTTTAAGGCATTGTATCCATTCTTCATCATCTTCTAAAAGTCCTCTTGCAACACATGCTGATTTAAACGTATCATGCAAAACATTGTTGACCGTGCGTAAACATTGAAACGATTTTGATCCTTTGACAACAGTTAATAACAAACGCAAATAAAATCTCTCACCACAATTAGGGCTAGCAAAGTATATTCTACTAATTGTATTGCCCTGCTGCCTTGGTTTCCATCTCTTTTCTGAAATAAGCCAAACAAAATGTTGTGAAAATTCTTGGTAAGTGAATGGACATTCATCTTCCATAGAAGCGCAACATGCAAAAAAACTAGTAAGAGTTGACATTTGTTGGCCAACTCTAGAAACAATTGCTTCTAATGATTCATCAGGATTAAAAAGAACGCGGGGCATTCCAGGTAAATGAAGTGCTAAGTGTACAACTGTTGGTATCTCTGCATGTAATGGATAACCAAATATTCGCCAAGCGGCTTCTGGAGGTCCAATATACCTCGCATCGAGATATTGTTGGATCTCATTTATCAATCCCAACACCATCGTTGTACGATCATAACCCTTATAAATGTACTTGTGTATATACTTGACGCATCTCATTCCGGCACAAACTTCCACATTTATGTGACAATTGAAATGTTTAGAAAGATATGCATTGTATGGTACGACATCTTTGTTATCAACTTCTTGCCCCCTCACAATATAAACTTGACCATTATTGTGACGATGATAGATATGATATCCATCTTGATCCATAGTAGTTGTTTTTGCGAACGCTCGAGGGTATCACTTAGTGCATTTACCATTTTCTATACATGGTCCTTGTGGATTTCAAGCACCACATGGTCCATGTACCATACAATACTTGATAGTTTCAAAAAGCATAGGTTCATCTTATGGATCTGAAAATTCTGCACAAACCAATTTGGCTACTTGATCACATGTCTGAATTTTGTCTGGACCCTTAAGAAATAGAAGTGCATGCATATGAGGAAGGCCTCGCTTTTGGAATTCAATTGTAAAAACATGCGCAACTTTATTACCAAACACTCGGTTTGTTTCTATCTCCTTCATCAAGCACTTTCTCTTTAACTCAAAAACACGGGCAATTAAATCAGGACGATCAATAGGCTTTTGGTGCGGTAATAATGCCGAAGTAATTTCTGGCCAATTAGGATTTGCAGTCATGGTGAGAAAAATGTCTGGATGTTGGTTATATCATGTGATAGCCATTGAGTCTTGAAAGATTTCAAACATGTGTCTAGGACCTCCAGGAAATAAAGATGGCAAAACAAACCTTTGACCAATTTGATTGAGTTGAAGGTCATTTGGATCAATATCTGTCAAATCTTGATAAAGTTCAGCACGGATCTTCCCTTGATTAAGCTTGTAGTAAGTTAACCTATTTTGTTCAGTTGCAGCCCAAGCATCAACCAAAAACTCTTGGAACAATTTTCCAACTCTTAAAATTGTTGAATACTCTGTGGGTTGTTCAAACAAACGATAACTATAAAAATCCATTTGAGTAAGCCGATCAGTTGAAGGCCGATCACGTTCAACATCCCACAGTTTCATCTCAGGTTCCCACCCAAGCTCACCATGTGGAAATAATAAAACATAATGTAATGGCAAATATGCTGGGTGACATTCATTGATTTGCATTAGCTCATTATTTTCATGTAGATGTAAGATAACATCTCTCATTCCACTAACCTTGGTTCCATCACCTGGTATTACAACTGCAATCTCATCTATAGTTGGTAGGTTATACTGTCGTCGATCTGTCGATGAACTGTAGTGGAGATGAGCAAGCAAATTTCGTCCTGTCAAGGCTAATTGATTCAAAATTGCATGAGCCTGGCGAAATTTATCAACGAATGCATTAACCTGTAATAAATTATCTTGAATAGTTTTTAGAACATCTCTTCTTAATTGAGGATTTCTACGATTGCGAACTTCTAAAGCTGAATCAGGGTCATAAATGTACAATTGCGCATAAGCTGCATCTTGCCCTAATTGTGGCAGTAGTGATCCTGTTCGATGTTGCAATTCCCCATGGATAGTGAATGATGTAGGGCCTCTTCCAGTAAGTACTCTTAGATCTAATGTAGCACCAAGACTTGTAAAAGCATTGGTTGCATTGTACACTCGAGTATAACGTCGAAACGATTTTGATTTATCATCATTCTCATCATATAATGCTTGAAGAAGTGAAGGGGGTGTAATAAGCAGAGGAAGCTTAACCTTCCCTTTTGAACAACATGCTCCGAATAGAGGACGGTTTGGAGATGATTTTACTAATTTTTCATCCATCCAATGTAATGCTGAACAGAAAGGACATAATACATCCATCTTGCCAAGAGAATGACGACATGAATTTATATGTGCTCGAGTACCAACCATTGGACTCATAGGCATATCCTCTAATTCCTCATTAGTACATAGATCCTCTTGAAGTGAAGGAGTTGTAAGAGTAGGCCTACAAATATTGGTAGGTTGTAAATTAAAATAGAATGGTAATGGTAAAAGTATGTATTTGAAGAATTAAACACAGTCTTTTACCAATTCCTTTGTGGAGCTAAAGATGTGCTTGGCATTGAGAACGAACATGTGGAAGGATGTGCAACCATTGTTCGTTTTTGCGCCGACTGAGTATCCTCAGTTGCAAGAAGTTTGTCTCGGTTGAATACATTCTCTTAATTTTTCCCGTTCTCGTCGTGCACGTTGGGCCAATGTAGCTTTTGATATAACATTGTTATTGTGTGCCTAAAATGTTAACATTATATCATTGATACCTAAAATACAAATATTATCGTATACTATTTTATTTCTTTTTCTTCCTGCCTTGTGATAATTTTAAGAATATTTTTATATTTTTACATTTCTTCCTTTTCCATTTTGCTTCATTTTCCCTCTTCATGCCTTGTGATATAACAATTTGTTTTTTAATAATTGTTTTCTCTTTCTTCTTGCCTCATGATGATTTTAAGAAAATTAAAAATATTTTCTATGCCTATGTTCCTCTGTTCCTTTGCTTAGATGTTATAAAGTTTTTCTTGGAGTTGATAAATGTTACAATTATTTTTAGGAAATGTAAAAGAGAGCAAAAAATACTTTGTTTGAGTGTACAGAAAACAAAGAGCACACAAAAAAAATTGACAACACAGTTTACATTTTTAAAAATATGCATGATCAATGTTGACTTAAACAATATGATTGGCTTTGTTTTACTCGATAAATATTTTTTTAAAGATGTTGAATATATACCATTGGACATGTATTTTCCTTTCCTTTGTCAAAAAAAGTTGCCTTTTCTTTTCCTTTACACATTGCCTTGCCCTTTTCCTTTTCCTTTGCCTACCAAAAATAAATAAAATTTATTCAGAATACGAAAAAGAACATGTATTTATAGAATTTATTAAGATTACGAAAAAAGAATATGTTGAACTTGATATTTATACTTACCTTAGAATTGCGGATAATATTAAGATTGCACTCATCATGAATAACAACACCGATATTCCTAGTCTCATGGAGGAATGGGCTTGCATGGGTAGGCCTACAAATATTTGTTGTGTACAAAATAAAATTTATAAAATAAAATCTTAACAATAAGAATATGTATTTGTAGAAATAAATATAATGTTTTACCAATTCCTTTGTGAAGCTAAAGATGTGTTTGGCGAAGTAAGATGTGTAAACATTACTCCTTTCTGAGCCGATGTAGTATTAGCTGTGCTTGGTGGAATCAATTCTCTTGATCTCTCTCGTTCACGTCTTGAACGTTGTCCCAATTGATATGAAGAGCTTGCCTTATCATTTCTTTCGCATTCTCGCTTTGCACGTTGAGCCAATGCAGCTTTCGATATAACAATATTGTTATGTGCCTAAAACATGAAGATTAATTTCATAAGATGCCTAAAATATGAATATTATCATCTACTGTTTTATACTTTTCTCTTCATTTTTCATTTCTATTAATTTACTTTATCTTAATTCCCTTTCCTTCTGATATTTTGTAAAAAAAATTGAAAACCTTTTCATTCTGTATCCCTTCTCCCCTCATTCCTTTTTTGTTCTATTCATTTTTTCTTCTCTTGTAGATGTTAATGTCAATAGCAAAAAGCCAAAAAGAATAATAATAATTTAAAACAAATATAATGTTTTTGTACAAATGCTATTTTAGCATGCTTCAAAAAAAATATTTCACAAATTTATATGAAACTGTTTACTATAAGAACAGTATATGTCACTATGCAAGTAGTATGTCAATTTTACATTTAAAAAAATAAAAATAAATAATCAAGGTTCATGGTCCAAAAGAAATATTTCAAAAAAAGAACTTTAAATGGAAATGTTGAAGAGCCATACTACTGAACATGTATTTTAATTTCCCTTGCCCGAAATGGTGGTCTTTTTGTTTTTCTTCAACAATGCCTTGGTAATTTCCTTTTCTTTTGCCTACAAAAAATATAGAAAATTTTTAAAGAATAAAGAAAATATATATATGTAGAAAGTTTTTAAAATATATATAAATAAGAATATACGGTGTATACGGTGTTTTGAATAAAAAAAATCTATATAATTAAATTGGGTCTACCTCTCGAACACGGATGACATTAAGGTCACGCTCATCACGGATAACAACATTAACATTTCTTTCTCGAAGAAATTAGACCTAAAAATACAAAAGAATTAGAGGTAAAAAAAAATAAAAAAATTATACATGTAAGAAAATGAGTAAAAGGAGTCAGTATTACAGTTCGACGTAGGTCTCCATCCATCTGTAAATTATAAGAAAAGAGCATTTTGTTATAAGGAATTAGATAAAAAATTATGAAAAGAAAAGAAAATTGACTTTTGCTTAAAAGAAAATTGTTTTTTTTTTCAAATAAATAAAAAAGAAAACAACTTACGTGACCAAAAATAGTAATGTTGTCCAAAATCAGCGGTTAAAGGTCAATGGTGTCTTAACTTGAAAGTGCCTGGTTATGTAAATTTGACAAAGATAACTATATGAAGGCAAAATAAGGTTTAATAATTGCCATAAAGAAAAATTAGTCGCTACAAAATTAACAACCTCCTAACATATTATAGTTAACAACCTAGTTTAAGAAGTTCGTTTGTGCATGAATATCACAGATGGAGAAATTAACCTACTACAGGATAGAAGAAAAATTATAATTTTTTTATGTCTTCAATATACATTAAAAAGGATAGAAGAAAAATTAAATGCTCTCATAGAAATCTTCATAATTTTTCTCTATTGGCCAAAATGTAGAACTATTGCAATACATGATTTTGTGGTTGATTCTATAGAGTAACTTTGCACTGACAAAGGTTAATTCTTATGGATTGTATTGCCCATTTTTCCTACTAACAACTAAGTAAATTATAAAAAAATATAAATTATACTAATGAATAAAATTTTAGCAAAACTTAATTACAGAAATTTAATTACTAAATTTGCATTTTAAAATGTGAAAACAAAATAAGTAAAAAACTACAATAAAAATTTATAAAAGGGCTCACCACACTGTAACTGGAAAATTACAAATACCTTTTGTATTATCTGTATAATTGCAAATGCCTTTTTTAAAAAAGTATACTACACAGTAGCTTATTTACTCCAATGAGTAATACTCTCATAAAATCATTAAAAAATTATTAAAACAAATTTTTAAAATAAGTTTAAGTTTTTTCAGAAGTCTTTTTTTTGTTTGAAAAATTCCAAAAATAAAATTGAAAAAGCTAAA